TCTTGTACTCGACCAATCATTCAATGCCATGGTTTGCTCATCAATTCGTACTCAAGGTTTTCCCCTTTCAAAATCACAATCCTTGTTCCATCCAAATTTCACAATACACCCTCTCCTAATTGGTCTCATCCCAAATCCCATGTCTTTGTCTTAGGTACCCAAGGTAGCTCATCCAAAAAGTAGCCTCAAAAACTATCTTCTACTTTAGCGTGACACAGCCTTGGCTGACCCTCTTTTTACTTCCTCCTTAGCAAGCTTGCCCATATTATACACGTTCTCGTCATTCTCATGTCTCTGCAGACAGAAAAGCAGCGATCCCTTTCAATGCTAGGTCAACACCTAGTTCCTATTGCTGCCTTGCGCCTCGTTTTGCCCAGTTCCTTGTCCACCCCGTTCCTTGGCAGGCTTCCTAACCCCCATGCCGTATGTCTCGATCTCTCTTTTCATCCTTCCAATTTTATGCAACTCTTTGCCTCGTTAAAAAAATTCAGTGGTGTAGCTCCCACCCCTTCCCTTGCGAGTTCCCGAGTCTTGATAATCCATTCGTGCCTGATGACATTGGTCCATTGCTGAAACCAATGACTGGGCGTTGGCCCGAACTCGTTCTCCCATCTGAAAGGCCCATCGCCCGGTTGGTGCATCGGAGGCCGCCCCTCTTCCCTAGGCCTTGAGATCTCATCCCTCTCATCCCCGCTGCTGATTTCTATGACTTCTCGCACATCCTCCTCCTCGTCCCCCTCGTCTTCAGTCTGTATGGGGCTATACTCACCAGCAAGGTTCTTTGGATCGGAGGTAAAAGGGATCTCTGTCCCCGTCTCATACCCCTCGCAACTACCGTGACAGCTTCGTCCTTCAAGCGGGCTCTCCCTTTTCTCCTCGTCCTCCTCACGTTTGTCGCGCATACCTTGTCCCCCCTCACTTTCCCCATGCCAAGTCTCACGTCGTTCGCCCCTATTGGCCCCTTCTTCGTTAGGGACCCGAGCCTTATCTCCCATTTCTGTGTTGCCTCCTTCTTCCACATTTGCCCTTCCCTTTTCGCCCTCACTGTCAGATAATATTTCTATACCTTCTCCCTTGCGGAGGGGTGAGGGTTTCCTACACAAACATTTCCTTCCACCCATGCCTACCACTGGCCCGCCCATGAGCCCAATGTACAATTTTCTCTTCGTTGTCCTCCTCCCTTGGCTTGGTCCAGCTTCTTCCCCTCCGCTAGGCCTGTTGATTGCCCCACTTTCGTTCTCGTTGCCGAATTTCATTTTTGTCTTTTCTCATTTTTCTCCTAAGTCCTGTATAACAAAACAACACCCGCAATGTCCCTCATACACTTACGCCTCCTCCCCCTTAGGCCGGTAGACATTCCTAAAATGCACCCAGTATCCCTCGCATCACTCCTTTTTTATACATGCGAATGCGTCGTTTGTGATGACCCCATATTTTTCCCGTCAAAAACTATGGTACAATGCCCCAAACATCCCTTCTCGTTGTCTCATAAGCCAGATACTGCAAACCCCCAAGTCATACTACCTTTCAACCTCAGTCAGTCCAAGCCAAAGCACCAGTCCCAAAAAAAATGACAGTCCCACGAATATGGTCAGAGACAAACCATAGTGTGGGCAAGGCTGTGATTAGTTTTTAGCTTGTGGCTCCTCTGTTTCCTTATCTTCAGCCTCCTGAAGTCATTGTTCCACTGGGTCCCGACTTAGAAACCTGACCAGTCGTTGCCCCGGGAAGGGCCCTTTCAATCCAGTTTCATCCAAATCTTCCAGTTCAAAGGTGTTCAGTCCCATCCACTTGGCGACCCGGTAGGGGCCTTTGAACCTCCTTCCCAATTGTCCCGACCAAGTACTTTCTAGTGCCGAGTTCCTTAGCAATACCATCTCCCCCACCTGAAGTAGCTCCTTTCTGACATTCTTAACCTGGTCCCACCTTGCTTTGTCCCTCATTCTGTTGTCTAGCACCCGGTCGACGATGTCCTCCATGACCTCCTCATTCTTAAGGATTTGTTGACATCTTGCCTCGATTAACTCTTCAGTGGTCATTTGCGCATCATCATCTAACATATTCCAGGTAGGTACCAAGACTTCTATAGGAAAGTCGATCTCTCTTCCGTACCAAAGCTCTGCCGGGATACATCCTGTTGTCCTTTTATGAGTCATATTCTCTGCAAAGACAGCCTGCTTAAGATACCTAGGCCAGTTCCTCAGATGGTCTGCTGCGAGCTTTGCAATCGTGTTCTTCAAGGTTCGGTGCCCACTTTCCACAGGTGCATTGGCCTCAGGGTGATACGGCTCGATGAGTTTGATCGGAACGCAGAGTCTCTTAAGCATCCCCAATACTTCTTAGTTCACAAATTTCGTCCCATTGTCTACTATAAACCTCCTGACGAACGGATGCCTTAAGTAGAAGTCTTCTATCCAGTCCGCCACACTCCTCCCTGTCTTTTTCTTGAGGGCGACTGCCTCCACGAACCCACTCAAGTTGTCTCGCGCATCCAGGATATACCTGTACCCATCCGTTCCGCAAGGTCGAGGTGGACCAGATGTCCCGGCCCTAGCACCCGTGTTGGTCTAAGCGGCTCGAAGACTCGTACCGAGCTTCGTTCTTGGCAAATAAGGCAAGTCTGGCAGTATATGGCGACCATGCCTGCCATGCCTGGCCAATAATAGAGCGGCATTATCTTTACAAGTGTTCTTTTAGACGACCGATGACCTCCAGCTAACCCGTCGTGCATTGCCTGGATAACGTCTACTTGCCTAGATCTTCCGCACACAACCCTTCTGGGCATAGCACCTTCCTCCCTTTGGAACAAATGCCCGCCCCTTAGGACGTACCTCTCGGCTTCTTCTCTTGCTTTAATACTGACTTCCGTAGGTTGTTTGTTTCCTACCAACAACAAACCAATCTCCCGAAAGAGCCCTTCGTAGGATTGGACATAGAAAAACTCCTCTCCTTCCTTGCTCCCATCCTTTCCTTCCTGCATCTGATTTACCACCCATTGCAACTCTTTCCTTTCCCAAGATTCCACTAAGCTCATCACTGCTTTCCGGACTCCTTCGACCACCATTGCTATTAGCTCCTCTTTCGGTCCTACTATCGCTCCCCATGAGTCATTTTCTTCTCTGTGTCCTCGAGTGGTGACTGGTCCTTCTGTCAGTTCTGCTACTACAGCAGGTGCTCCCTTCTCCAAAGTCTGGATCAATAGTTCTCCCGATGTGCATCTCTCGCTCATCATTTCGTTATCCACCGCGAGAGTCTCTCCTTCATATTCGAGGAAGGCGTCTATGGGCTCTGCATCCTCCATCCCTTCGAGAGTGATGCAAACCCTACTCAGCCCGTCTGCCTTGTTGCGGATTCCAGCAATCCGTTCAATCTTGTAATCGAACTGCCAGATGAATCCTACCCATCTCCCTACCGTTGGATCTATAGGCCTGTAATTCTTCAGAGCCCCAGCAACATTCGTCGGATCGATCCTTAAGATGAACCGCCTCCCAAATAGGTAGGCCTGGAAGATCTTAAGGCAATGCAGGATGGCTTGGACTTCTTTCTCGAATTACGAGTACCGCCGTTCTGCAGAGTTCAGGGTTCTACTTTCGAACCTCATCGGCCTCTCTTTTCCTCCCTCATCCCTTTGAATCAACACACCTCCTACGGCCAAATGTCCTCCATCAGTCTCTAGGATGAAGGGTCGTCCCACTTCATCATTAAAACAAGGCGCGGACAGAGCGACTGTCTCTGATATCAATATGTCCTTCTCGCTCCTCCGTCCAATCCATGGTTCCTTCTTCCCTGATCATAGCCCGGATAGGCTCGGCAATCTTGGCAAAGTTCTTAATGAAGATCCTCCAAAAGCCGACTACGCCTAGGAATGCCCTTACCTCCGTTGTCGTGTGTAATGGTGTCAGCCATTGTGATATCTTGTCGGTTTTTGCCGGATCCGGCTTCCTGCCGTAAGCACCGCAACGAAATCCGAGTATAGTTACCTCCGGTACTGCTAGGATACTCTTCGGTCCACTAGCCGTAATGTTGTATATTAGGAATCGTCGGAGTAGATCCTTGATGTCCTGCAGGTGGTCCCACACAAAACGTCGGATCCCTGGCTGAACTTCCGTCTCGTCCTTCTCCTGCGCACCTTTGATCGGATCGTCATCGATGTAAGGTTCACATTTTTCAGGGAACATGTCCCCGGCCACAGCGAGCATCCTGCGTTGCGCTTCGGCCACCGCGTTCGCGAATCCCATAGGTGTCACTTGCATCTGTAGCTGGCCTACGGGGGTGTGCATAGCGGTGTATGGCCTGTCCCGAACATCCAATGGAAGTTGGTCGTACCCTGAGTACAGATCTATCAAGGAGTAAATGCTCCGACCGGCGTGTGATTCTGCTAATAAGTCAGCCTGAGGTAGCGAGTCAGCATCCCGGATGGTTACCGCATTCAACTTCTGCAGGTCCTGAATCCACCTTAGTATCTTGTTAGGCTTCCGAAAGACGAACCACCGATTTGCGTATGGCGATGCCGTAGGCTCCGCAACGAAGGAGTCCATTTTCACTCGGAGGAGGTCTGTTAGCTCTCCTGCTATCCCAAATTCATAGGATGACCCCTTATCATTCCAGCACTCATGTTCTACCATGTGGATTCTGACCGGAGGGATCAACTTCGCATCCAGTCGTCCCTTCTGGTGATCACTAAAGGCAAATGTCAGGTGAAACTCTTGGCAGGTTCTTTTGATCAGGCGGGTTTCTTCCTCCGTTAAGAACCCGTTTATCCCTATCTTCATTGTGTCCGCTACCTCATCTGGTATCCGATGTCCCTCCGTCGCCCTTCTTTCTCGGATCACTCGAAGGACCTCTTCCTCCTTTTCCATAGCCTCTTCCTTTGACGTCTCTAGCAGGATCGAGACCGGTTTTGCTTTCTTCCCTACCGGCTTGTACTTTCGAACACTTCCTTCCGAGATCTTTCTCCTAAAAACTGAACAGTCGGAATTGCCCCTGCCGCCTCTACGACTCGTGGTTTAATACTAACTAGTTTCCTATTCAGGCAATATCCATTTTGCACCTCTCTTTCGAACTTGGCCAAGGCTGCCGAATCCACTCATGCCTCCTTGTGGTATTTGAGGGTCTTGATGAGTTGCAATAGATCGGGGATTTCGAGTGCCATTTCCGGCACGTCTATGCGTACTTCTTTCCGTTTGGGCAGGCTAGCACCAAGTTCGACCTCTGACTCCTTTTCCGCTACCATTACACCTAGGACTTCGTCCTCCTGCCTTCTCCTCTTCTGGGGCAGACCCATCTTGATCCACTCCTTTTTGTTGAATGTTTCCTCAATCATGATTTCTACCGTTTCTCTCATACCCTTCATCCGTGCGAAAGCCCCTTTTCGCGTGCTATCCTCGAACGACGGCGACCATGTTGCCAATTTCCCCTTTGGGGGGTCTCCTCCCGTTTCAAGGAGTCGAAGGAGCTCTCCCCGGCCGGTCACAGGGTCCTCTATGTCTACCATGTACGAGCCATCGTGCAAGTGCATGCCTATCATCTCTACGTTCGCGCACCACGGTCTCTTAAGGATTATGTCGTGGTCCATTTCCTCCGTTACTGTTATCCGCTGAAACGACCAGATCGATTCCCTGACCCCTGCCTTCACAGCACACTTCGTGACGTACCCAGCGAACGGGATTTCCCCGCCAGTTCCCCGGATGCTCCCTGTTACTTCCTTGTTTACCGTACATCCCGTGATCGTTGCGAAGTCTCTCCTTATGACAGTGATTTCTGCTCCCCCGTCTACTAATGCGTCGGTGTGATGACTCCCGATCTGGATTTTCAATTTCCCTACGGGTAACGCATGAAAGCTAAGCTTCGTCCCAGGTGGTGATCTCATGACTTCGCCGCCCTCTCGGCTAAACAAGCTCAAACGAATGTCTGCAAAGGCCCTTTCGAGATCCTCCAAGTCCACGTGACTCCTCTGAAGGTTAGCCACTTCTTGCGGAGCTTCCTCCTCCCTCTCCCCTTCTGGTAATTCGGGGTTGTCGCCTATTTTTACYCGCCTCCGAGTCAACAGTTGTCTGAGCCCCTTGAGCAACCTAGGGCTAGCCTGCAGCATGGTCTGAAAAGACACCGACACCATGGTTCCTAGTAACTTGCTAATAGTGTCGTCGAGCTCAGGCAAGGTCAAGATCGGGATTTGGTACCTAAACTTCTTCTTGGCGGCGGTAGCCTTGTCCGCAGGCTCCTCTTCCCTAGGCTTCCCATAGCCTTTCTCTGGTTCCTCGGCCCTCAGGCTCTGCCTGGGGTTCGGAGCTTCCAGCGACCTCCTCCATAATGGTGTCACGGTTAATCCTTCTCCCGGCCGTTCCCAGTCGAGTGGTTGCGTTCACCCTATCACGTCCGTTGCTTTCCAAAATAAAGTTGGCCTGCAGTCCGTGCCCCCGGAGTTGATCCCAGATGATCTCACCCACCGGTTCGGCTTCTACGGCTGTTATTTCTAACCCGTTGAGCATGATAATGGCTCGCCGCATCCCTCCTGGTGAGTTCCAGTTCACCCGTTCTCCTTGTGGTCCAAATATCTCCCCCTTTAACGACCTGGTACACCTTCTTTTCAAAATATCATGGTTGAGCTTTGGGCATGCGCGCACATAATGTCATATCGCGATGCAGTACTTGCATTGCTCGTTAGCAGGATCTCTCCGTCCGTATCCCCGGTTTGCCACACCTGGCGATACCACAACTTCCTAGGGAGGAAGGGCAGGTCGGGATACTTGCGCTTGCATAACCATTAGCGCACCTTCCATCCTTTCAATTTTATTGTCGACCCCGTGCACCCGTTCATGTAGACTTTCAATCCCCTTCTTTACCTTGTCGTCCGTTCAACCGGTCAGATCTATGATCTCTCCTTCCTTGAGCAAGGCCAACGTCTCCGTTACTACCGTTTTCTTAGCCAGATCTGTTACCGTGCTAAAATCAACATCCCGCGTGTTTACGAACTTGCTCGTCTGTTGGTAGGTTGACAGGATCTTGTCTTTGTCGAACTCGGAGAACTGCCTGAGGAAATATTTGCTCATTATCCGGTCCGTGACCCCGGGGATCCTTAGTGCTACTAGAGTAAATTCCCGTAGGAAATCATTGTACGTTGCAAAGTTTTTCCTCTGAATTGCCGCTAGGTCGACCTCCGTTGCCATTTTCTCCGCCGCTAGGTACTTCCTCATCATCACATCCCGGGTCTCCTTCCAAGACCGGTTTGCGGCTACAATGACCATTATGTCCCGTCCTAGGCTTAACAACACATGCTGTCCTAGGTGGTTCATCATTTCTTCCTCGGTCCACTTCAGTAACACAGCTAGGTTCTCGTAGTCGATCAGGAACTCCGTGATGTTTGCTCCATCGAAAGTCAGCTTTTTCTTGGCGTCTGCCAGATAGCCTTGATTTTTGTTTAGTGCTCGAGCGAGGGACAACACTATCTTCTTAAGGCCACCCTCGGAGCTGCTGACCTCGCCTGCCACACTGTTATCCGGGCTCTCCTTGCTGACCTTCTGTCCCTCCCTGGTTTTCATAGTTTCTTCCGGGGAAAACCATCCCAACACTTTTTCCCTAAGGCTCCAAAGTCCTTCGCATCCTCGCGCTACAGCTGGCGTGATCGGCAGGCGGCTAGCCCTACTATCCATGGCTGGCGGAGTCGTAGCCTTTTTTGCTTCCATCCCTGGAGAGTTCTCTCTCTCTTTCCTTCTCTTGCTCGGCGTTCCCCCACGGTCACTACTTTTACCCCCTTGTCCAGTTCCACCTTGGCTGGCTCTCCGTTCGTCCCGGGGCTCCTCCTGCAGAGGACCTTCTTCGTTCCCAGTCATCATTTCCCCAATCAGTCTTGCCTTGTATTCTGCGGTCCTCTTGTCTATCTCGGCTAGTTTGCGCCTTGTGTCCGCGACCCTTACTTTCTTAGGCATGACTCCTTCCGAGTTTCGGGAGCTTGTCCTATCCTTATTTTTGCCTTCCTTGGTCCGCTGGGTCCCTTGCCTGCTTCCCCCGGCTTTCCCCGAGCTTTCTCCTGTGGTAATTTCCTTCCGGTTCCCTTTGGTACCATCCGGATTTATCGACTCTCTGTCCTTCTGCCCCCCTTCGCGTTGCGCGACACTGCCTTCTAAGTCTAGTTCTCCTTCAGTCTTACGGTTATCTGTCTCTTCCTCCGTTGCCATTTTGCCTAGTTCTGCATAAGCCAAAAAATTCCCAGGACACACGCAATGCGAGGTTTTTAGGTTCCCTAGGCTCCCAGCTTTGTTGGCTTATCTCTATAGTCTCCTTTCCTATCCCCGTTTCCTAGTTGCCCTTCCTTAAGGAGGAGCCACGACTGGCCCTGCCGCCCAGCCCAGCTATGAACGTGACTGGGCTTCCTTTATCACAAGCTTGTTTGTAGTGTCATTGTCCCGTCGGCCGACGCGGGGGAGTCAGGGTTAGGCATCTTGCTAGAGGAAGCCTTCCCGAGCAGCGTTTCCCGTTTTTTACCTTCCGGGTTATGGTCACTCATTAGGAGTCTACCCCCTTCTTTGTTTTCCTAGTGGGTTTTAGCCATCCAGGTCCGAGGCCCCTTTCTTATTCCCATCGGCGGATTTCCGTACGCAGCGAACTATACTGGATCTGCCCTATTGGCCTGCCTGAGGATCCCAGTCCCGCTCGCGCCCTCGTGGTTCTTCCGGTTCGGTCGGCTCCTCGAATAGCTCAGCCACCCCTGCCAAATAGCTCTCTCCTATCTCGATCTCCCTTTGGATTATGTGCTCGTGCCCTGTCTGGTCTAGCCAGGGCGCACGAAACATCAGGATGTGGATGACCTCCAGTAACTCGTGGGCCCTGTTTCCCCAGAACGGCCCATGCCTCACGGCGACATCATAGAACATCCCGATGGTTAGAGAGGAAAAGTGGTCTGCCCACATTACTGCCGAGTTTGCCAACTCCCGCGCCCTTGCGAGGCTCCCGAAGACGAGATCTAGCATAAAACGGGGGACCCGACACCTCAGCGGTGTGGTTGGTGCCCTGAACTCCTTTCAACCTCCCATCTCCACCCGGGTTAGCAAACCCACGTTCCTTCTTCCCCTGATCGAATGTCCTATCCGGGTCAACGTCCGGGCGGCCCTTTGAAAGACCGGTGCCAGCTCGTGACCTTGTGCTATCTCTACCCCCAACGAATGCCAACCGATCTCAGGCAGATACATGGTCCCGGTAACCTCCAGATTGGAGAACAGATCGTCTCCGGGTCCTCGGTTGAGTCTCATTCCTGTCCACCGACATCCTACCAACATGAAGGCGGCGTCCCTTCCCAAAGTCACGGCCCGCCATTCTACGTCGAACCCCCGATAGGTAGAACTCGACGGGAGGGATACTTCCCATCGTTCACCGTTGTTCCACGGCGGTCCGGGGTACCCGGGCTGGCGTTCCATTCGGACACGGGGCTGGCGTTCCACTCGCTCACGTCTTGCTGCCATTGTTACCTGGGTGATTTCCTGCATAGTCCACATAGAAAGGGTTACAGGCAATCTTCAGAATCCGCCCACCTACTGTCTCCCTTGCTCTTCGTGTTTTCATTTCTCTTTTCTAGTCTCAACTATCCCTCTATACCCGCGGGAGCAGTAGCCTCCTCTTGCTGTTCGTACAGTCGGTAGAGATCATCTATGTAGGTCGCCCCCCGACCTACCTCTCACCGGATGACTCTCCACATCGTCTCATCACTTATTTGTGAAACTCCTGGCCTAACATTTACTGCTACTCTTAGAATACAAAGCACATCGCGCCCTTGTTCGCCCCCGAAAGGGCCCATCTCTAGAAAGGCCCGATAATATTCTCGATACATTAATGCTTCGTCAAAATTTAGCCTAGTTACGACAGTCGCCGCCTGCTCCACTCGTTCTATGCCTCTCACTCGTCTTAGCAGGAAGGGTGGTAGACTCATCCGTACGACCTCATTTGGGAGCTCAAGAACCCCTGCCGCGGCGACTTTTACCTCAGCCGTCACGTCATCTCGTTCCGGATCTGCAAACTCAAACCCCTCCCGCCAAGTTATTTGCCATGCCCCTTCGAACATTCGTACGGGGTCATCCCCGGAAGCCAAAGCAATCCCAAAGGTCCGCCATCCCTCTTCCGACATGTGTAAGGATCCCGTCGCATGTACACGCTCTGGGCGGATTAAGTCTACGCCCCCAAACTCTCCTCTCGCACGCCATTTCAGCTTCACTAATAGGTACACTGTATCTTCCACAAACTTTATCCCCACCCAGTTCATTACTAGATTGCCTATCATATTTCTTGCCGGCAGGCTTATTTCGACCCTGCCCTCTGATATTCTTGGTGGCAGGATCCCACGAGGTCTATCCGCCCAGAACGTCATTCGCCGGGCCATCTCGCAATGTCTCCTTTCCTGCTTTCTTAGTCCGATTGCTGCACCCACTGAGATTCCATGTTTTTCGTGTTTTAGTTTTTCAACCCTCCCTACTTATCGTACACTAGTTCTTGCCGCTATCCCCAACTCATACACGTTCAATTCTACCCCCTCCCCCCATTTTCCAGTTGCTGTTACTTCCCCCTTGTTTTGATCCTTATGCACTATCTACGGCCTAATGTACACACTCCCTTTCTTATGTTACACCTTGCTTCACAAACACCCTCCATACTCAGGCCTTTTCGCTGTGTTCGATCCCTTGGCCTCATTCAGTCGAACCACAGTACCTCAAATAGTTTAAAGACGTCGTCTACGTAGGAGGGTGCAGCCGCCGCCTCCCGGCTAACTATGGCGTCCCAAGACTCCGCCTCTACCTCTAGACGGTCATACCTGCCTATTCTTAGGACGATGATGACTTCCTCGGCTTTATCTCCGCAGAAGGGCCCATATTTCAATGAGAGCCTATAAAACTCCTCAGTCAGCCAGGCACACTCTATATGCACCTTTCTCATGGAGTCGGCTACTTCTAAAATGTGCTCAAACCCCCCAAACCACTCGGCTATGAATTTTGTTACCCAAGCCGTTATCCGTAGACTTTGAGGTTTGAGTTCCTTTCATCCTCCCATCACAACTCTGCTACTAACTTCGTCCCATCCCTCGTTGGCGAACAGTTTGCCTTCCTTTCGGGTTCAGGCCTCTGCATCCCGTAGAAGCCACATCGGGTCCTGTCCCATTACTAACATGGTGCAAAACAAGTGTCATCCATTCTCGGAGAGGACAATCGTTTCAACTGACTCTACCTTGCTTTCTGCTATATCATCCCAACCTTCCTCTTCCCTTATCGGGTTCCAAATCCGCTCTATCCATATATATGACAAGTCCCGGGCAACCTCAAACCCAATTCAGTCGCACGTGGTCCCTCTCCATCCGTTCCCTGTTGGTATAGGCATTTCTATTCCTCCTCTGAGTCACCGTGGTTCCCAGTCTTTGAAGGGGTATTCCATCATCCTTTCTTCTGTAGTCATCTTTCCCTTTCCTGCACAATACCAGGTCACCCGTCCTCCCTAAGTTAAGTCACCCTACCCCTCTTAGAAGTCTCAGTCTTCTATCTCTTCATCCTCATCTTCGTCACTGAGGTCGTCCTCCTCGTAGTACATCAACCCCCTTACCCCATCTAGAAACGTCTCCCCTACTGCCACATTCCTGTAAACTATCCCCCTATGCACAGTGCTAGGAACAAAGATATTGTCTATGCTAAGGCAGTTTAGTATCTCGGCCAGCTCTTCCGCCCAGTTCCCTTCGAACGGCCCCATCTCTACTGATAACCGGAAAAAATCCGGCCTAGCGCATTGGTACAGCCCGAGGTTCGTCATGGACTGACATATTCGCACTAGCCTGCTCCGGGTTCCGAAAACCGCATCCACTAGGAATGAGGGCAGCACACATCGCATGGTTCTTACGGGTCGCTTCATGCTTCCTCTATCTCCAAGTTCCACCCGTACGTCTACCCTTTCCATTTCCATTTCCCTCCGTTGGCATGCAGCCCACACAACCTCTGCTTCTGCTTTCCTAAACAACTCGTCCGGCGTATTCCCGAGTGTCAACTCTATGATCATAGCTTTCTCCCCATCTTGCGACAAGTAGACCCACCCCCGGGCTTCCACTGTCCCTCGGAATTCCAAATCCATTAAACTTGGTGACAACCTCGTCAAGCTGACATTAGTCCATATTGTTTTTATCCAAAGAAAAGCATCCTCTCCTTCCAGCATTACCGTTTGATACGCTGGTTCAAGGTCCGTCCACGTTCCATTTTTCGGAAGGACGACCAATACCCCATCCTTTATATCTACTGTCATTTATGGGCCGCTGGTATAGATTGGGGAAGGCAACCATCGCGCCATCTTGTTTTCAGCACCCGACCCCTGTTTTCATAAAAAGGCACCAAGCAATTCTTTTGGTCAGGTCAACCCATGTCTTAGATGAGAATTATTTCAGACCCCTCATCAAGGTCTCTCTATTTTACCTTCCCATTCCTAAGTACCTCCTTCTCATAATTCCCTCGGTCGACCATCCATTTGCCCACATTCTTTTTCTTGGTTCCATTCCAATTGACCTCTATCCTCCTTCCTTCCGATCATCTCTCACTCGTGCGGACTCAGATGGGAGGGGGAATAGACTTAGAAGAATGTTCGTCCAACAGTCCAATCTCAATCAATTTTTACAGAGGGGGAACACATAAAAAAAAATCAGGCAGCCTCACATACGGGCCGGTCATCTCCTCACCGGCCATCCCAATATGATCTCTCCGCCGGTACTATCGGTAGGGTTTGATCCCATACCTCAAGCACAGCTCAACCGTCGATAGCGCGGTACCCAGGTCTCAGCAAGGCATTCGCCCTTTCCTCCTTACCCAGAATACCCCATCCTGACTTGCCACTCGTGTACCCACCGTTAATCTCGCGAATCACCCCGCACATCTCTGTAGGGCCATTGGAGCCAGCCGTCCAAGCATTTACTTCCATCGGTCCGAGAAGGAATAGTTTTTCCCAAGCCATGCTACGAGAAGCTCTCAATTGCCTCCGAGGCTCCTTCCTTGCCCCATATGCAGTGTCCCCCAGCCGTCTGCCGCCAAGCAGCCGCCCCACCTGAACAGGTTTCACATCCCACCTGGGCAAGATCATCGAGCCATGCTCGAACCGCTCCGGTGAGAATGCTACTAGTCAGCCGGCGAGACCAACCCTTGCCTGACAGTCCGGTGGTCCGACCCCCACACACGGAACCCGGTGAACTTCAAAGAGGACGACCAACTCGCATCCCGCACCGGCTGGTGTAAACCAATTCTTTCCTTCCAAATGGAAGGACGCTCAAAATCCCAATCATGCAATCACAAGTCCCAAGTGGGACACACATAGTACAAGTGTCTTTCCCTTAGTGCACCCAGCGCTTCCTACCCATAACTCACAGATTTTCTCTCAGGACAATGAGTGTCACTCCCCCTACTTTCATGCATAGTGGTTGGTTCATTCTCGTGAGAATCTTCAAGGGTGAGCTAGTTTTCCTTGGAGTCTAGCAACTCCCTTCATTCCCTTCTCTTCACTTGTCTGTACTTTCATAGGGTAGGATTGTTCTTTCTTGATGACCCGTTGTGTTCATATTGGTTCCTTCAATCATCAAAAAGGTGCAAAGTGCATGAGTCTGTTGGGCTCAAAAGAAGAAGGGGAAAGCACCCATTCGGTCGGATCACTCCGCCATGGGATTTTCATTGGAACCTGGCCTAAGCCAAACACCAACCGCCTGCCAGGTAACCGGAGCCCTTCTTTCCTACGAAGAGGAAGAGTCCACTTGCGACTTGCCCAAGGCTTCCCCGGACAGGCGAACACCAGCACCGGACGAAGGAGGGCTAGAGTCATTCCTCAAAGGAACGGCTGATCAAGTGCATAGCATGCATGTTATACCTCCAAGCCTGGCCATGCCATGCGCCCAGCCACCCTCAAATCTGATTTCTCACAAGGGAAAGGGCAAACACACGTCTATTTTCTTTATCTTGGGTTGTGTACAAGTCAATGCGTCGGGCGCCCCCATCGGAATCGCAAGGGTCAATTTAACCCCATGCCCGTTACCTCCACCACCTTTGTAGGGCCAAACCCGGTAGACTTTCGAGCCTTAGTCGACCCTACTGCGGATTCCAGTTGGCTCGGCCCGCCCACACTCATGCTCAGGGTGCGGGCCATTCGTCCCAAGGTCACCCCCACCTAGTGCTTTGAGATGGATGGGGGTGGGCCATCGCGCGAGAGAGCTTTGACATTGGGGATGTAGCTCAGCCCTCACGCTGGGTGGTAGTCTCGCTGGTCGTTCCGCAACGCTGATTTTTTTTTTGATTCTTTATTGTGTTCTCAAGCAACTGCTCCGTCCAATACGCAGGCAGTCCAAGTATTCTTTGAGCCTTTCTCTTCTCTTGTGCGTAGGCTAAGCGTCATCCTTAGGCCACGCACCATCTCCCTAAGCATTTTGACTATAAAGCGTCATCGGCGTGCGGCGGGGCCGTCCTCCCCCTCGCCTCTACGCATCCATCGGATCTCACAATTTGCTTCCCACCTTATTGAAGTAAGCCCCTTAGTCTTTTCGGGGTCCTCATATGCATGCACACACAACATCATATTTTCCTTGGTACGATTGCATTCTCAATCACACTTTCAAGTCTCAAGTGCAAAAATCATTTTCATGAATTGACTCTATGTCAAGGGTCCCATAGCCCTTTTGTCCCTCTTCCCTTTTCCTCTTGATGCCCAGTTCCTCTCGCCCTTATCCCGCTCAAGGCATTTCTAGCCATCACTCACCTGCACAATCCCACACAAGCAAGGAGATTCATACAATGTCCCCCGTTGGGGGTCAACACATAGCCCTTCACACACGCCTATTCTTTCCATGCTCTTTGGTTGTGCTTTGTTCCCTTCTTGTTGCTCAATCAGCCCATCCTCTTCGCATAGTCATGCAGTCGGGGAAATGGTCAAGTCAAACTGACCTCACTTTCAACTTGTGTTCCCTTCCGGATTTTGTTTTTTTCCCACTCTTTCAAACGTCCTTTCTCTTTTGCCTCCTTGGTAGCACAGAGACCGGCTATCCTCCCCTTGCCCTCTTTCTCAACTAAGTGAAGTCTGATTTCTTTTACCGTCCGTACCCAGCCAATGTTTCCAAGTGAGGGAAGAAGGGTTAGTCATATGCCAAGTGAGGGAACGAGAGAGAGGGAGAGGGAAGGCGAGGTAGCAAAAGGAAGCGAAAAAGGGTCTAGAGGAGGGAGGAGGGAAAAAGAGGGAGAAAGAGAGAGAGAGAGAGAGAGAGAGAGAGAGAGAGAGAGAGAGAGAGAGAGAGAGAGAGAGAGAGAGGAATTCCTAATCAAAACAGTTCCCCGTACCAACAACCAAAGGTCGATCACCCATCCCATAGTGAGAGTTCGAATAAGTATTTCATGGAATAACATAGCAATGAGACGCTTAGACCAATGAAAAACACATACTCATAAGGAAACAGATCAACTAAGCAACGAACTTGA